CCCCCCCCGTCCACAAGGACGGTATCCACATGCTGACAGGACTACTTAGGACAGTCATTCACTCAGCCCTGTGCCCCAGGACAAGGCCTTTGCAGCTGCTTCTGCTGTATGTAATGGAACTGCCCCACTGAGGAGGAGGAGGACAGCTCAAGAAACTCACAGGAAAGTTCTAAGTCTCAGGAGGGTCACACCAGATTGAAAGCGGATTCCCCGCCCCTCCCAGACTTTATATAAGGGAATGCTTGCTAGGGAGAGGAGAATCTTCCAGGGAGGTGATAGCAGGCTGTACCAGGACTGGTTCAGCATCATTTCTTTGGTTTGCTGTTACCTTTCTGTTTGGGTGAATAGGCCTTTCTGTGTGTATCTCCAGGAAAGTCGGTGAAACAGAGTCCGCTATGAGACAGTGTGAGTCAGTAAAGGGTGGAAGTAGCCCTGCACGGGGACTGGCTTCATCCTCGTCTTTTCCCTTGGGCCAGCCACAGGACTGTCAATAAATAGTAGTGTGCCGGGGTCTAGATCTAGGGAGAGCCCTCTCCTGTTCTCTCCCCCAGCTCTCCCTTTCCTGCTCACTCTCCTCTCATTCTCACTTTGCCTCTCCTGTTCTCTGCCCCCACTCTCCCTTTCCCCCCACTCTTCCTCACTGTCCTACCTTACTTCTACTTTCTTCCCTCTTCTTCTCCCCCAGCCTCCCTACCCCTTTTCTCCCAATCCCTCTTACCAACTCTGTTCTGAAATGCTCTACCCAAGGACATTAACAAAGAGGCAAGAGCTGAGCTAGGCAGGCCCTTCCTCTGCAAATTCAGGGACTCACTGTGATTGCCAAGGCTCCTCTAGCCATTTTTTCCCCTTCATAGAATTGTCATTGCTTCATTGCATTGCAGGAAAATGATGTCATGGTGTGGGGCCCTGGTACATTTCCCGGCTTTTAACCTGAAGCCTCCAGACCTTTCTCGGCTGTCCTGCTCTTGGAGAAAATGAAACACGTTGAAATGCACAGGCCAGCAAACCTCAGAACAGCTTCTGCGCCTCCAGGACGGGCTAACTTCTGAGGGTACATTAATGACCCACGCATAGCCACATAGCCTTATCTGGGTGTCACATCTGGGACATAGCAAGGACCCCCTCCCCCCAACTGTAATATGGAAAGGAAATAAGCTTCAGGTTGTGCCTGCAATTTCCTGGCAGGAGCCCTTTCTTCCCTTAAACTGGGTTTAATTATTAGTGACAATGTTCAATGTAATTTGGCCTCCCCCTATGGTTTTTGCTCTGGATTTTGTATTAAAGGCTGTGCGGAAACTTAAATATTACACACCACACTTGTGTCTTCTTCTCTTAGGACTGGTGAGACACCAGCCTGAGTGACACTATGGAATTATTTCCTGGAATGTCAAAGGCTGACGTCGCGCTGTTGAGAATACTGTTCTTTCAGGGTTGCAGAGAGCCAGGCTCAGACTGGATCTTTGCTCTGGTATAAGTTTTTCTCTGCCAGGAAACCATGGGCTCTCAGATCATTTGCATACAACCAATGAGAGCCATCTACTGTTCCACGGAGGTCTTGGAGATTGTATGACGACATCCTGAAAAAATCTCAGCTGGGGAAAGGCGATCCCCCCCCCCCGACTTTCCCTAAGCTCCATCTTAAATAGTTTCCTTCCCACAGTCCATGTGTCCACATTCAAAGTAAGTAACCCAGTCGGTTTTCCTGTCACTAGCTCAGGAATCTCAATAGCCACACAAAACTGGAAATTGGCTGTTTAAACAAAGGTACCATATTCGTTCCAGTCTGTAAACTAGACATTTTTTTTGGCACACAGCAGGGGAGAATTAACCCTTTTATGTCTGCCAAGCAAGGGCACAGTAAAATGCCTGTTCTTTTCTTTGTGGCCAGGATGGCTAAGGCTAATCTGTTGATACCCACTGTCATTCTTGATGTTATGAGTTATCCTAGCGCATACGCTGTTGCACTGTTTCACATGATGCCACAGAAAAACCTGAGTAGAGTTAAGGGTCTCAAATTGGGCACGTTTTCCCCAGATTTCCTTCCCTGAGTTCTGGGAAACAATTAGTGGACTGTCCAGGTCTTAGAAGGTGTGATAGTAGCCAGAGATCTGGGCTTGTTGATAGAATGCCCAAAGGTCACCTTAAGTTCTTTCATCGCAGAGTGGGACATAAATAAGAAAGTAATATGTAGGGCATATGAAAAAGCAGGGTGTCCAGTACTTAGGGGGACGCTCAAATGTTATTTAACTCAGACATCATCAGGCCAAAGCCACTACGTGGGCAATCACCAGACCTAAAGACTAGAAATCTTATCATTCCATTACGGGGCAGATAGCAGTGTGTTGACTGAAGACCTGTGGCTGAAAAGGCGTCTACCGGATTGCTAGATAGCTGTGTTTCAGCTCTGTGCCCTTGAACGAGTCGTGGAGCCTCTCTCCATTGCAGATACTGCATCTGTGAAATGAGGGTGTTTATGTCTCATGTCCGAAGTGTTATGTCTAACATGTTTACTCTGAACTTGTCTGTTCTCAAATGAGCAGAATCCATACTGACAGATGTTTGAAGACATGTACTAAATGAAGCCCAAACCTTTAAACTTACTCTTAAATTGTGTGTGTGTGTGTGTTTGTGTATATGTGTGATGTGTACAGGCATGCATGTGCCACAGCACACATGTATAGAGGTCACAGGACAACTTTGTGGAGTCAGTTCTCTCCTTCCCCATTAAACAGGTTTTGGGAATGTGTATCAGATCAACAGAATTGATCAGTGAGCAATTGCCCCGGCCCTGGCTATTTAGAGAAGCTGAGCTGTACGTACTGGGCATTCTGCTGTGCACTTTGCTATTGGAATTTCATTGATCTCTCTCAACAAAACTCTGAATTAGCTTCTCTGATGAATCCCTATTTGACCACGAGGAAACTGAGGTCTGTCCTAAAACGAAAGAGGAGGAAGGTTCCCCGTGCAGGTGCTTTTTATTCCAAAGCCCTGTGGAGGTTCTGATACAGAGCACCCGTGAGTGCCCTACTGTAATGTGTAGCGGCCCTCACAGGAGGGCTTCCTGGGGCTGATGCCTGTCATCTGACTATTCCCAGCTCCTACAGCTTCCCAGCCTTGACTGTCTGAAACTCTGTCAATGACTCAAACCCACCACACCAAGCAGTGGAGAGCCACAGACACAATACCATGACACAGAGAAATCTAAGAAGCACCTTTCGGACCCAGCTAAGAAAGAGTCTCTATGGTAGTCAGCCAGTAGCTGCATGGAGTGCCTTTTTGGGAAGGACCGTTGTAAGGGGCCAGAAAGATCTTGGAGCTTTATTGAGGAACTGGCCTAACATGAATCCAAAGTTCTTTCTAACTACAAAATGTTTTTTGTTTGTTTGTATGGTTGGATTGTTTCGTATTGTAATTTTTAAAAATATGTGTGTGTGTGTGTGTGTGTGTGTGCGCGCGCGCATATGGGGGGGGTGGCATTTGAAACAGTACACATATGGAAGATATATGAGAGCTAGTTCTCTTCTTCCACCATGGGGGTCCCGGGGATTACTCTCAAGTTGTCAGGCTTGGTAGCGAGTCTCTTTACTGGCTGGGCTGTCTTGGAGGTCTGCTGACTGGATTTTTGAGACAGGGTTTCCTGTAGCTCAGGCTAACTTCAAACTCAGTATGAATTGGCCATAAACCCTAGATCCCCCTGCCTCCACCTGCCAAGTGCCAGCTGGAATCACAGGTGTCATCCTCATACCCAGTTTCATGGAGTGCTAGGGTTCAAACACAGGCTGCGCACACACCACAGGTAAAAGCATTCTATCAGCAAAAGTGCATCCTTGGTTCTTAAGTTTTCTGTTACTAGTTTCAAGAACAAGAATGAGAAGAGATGCTGGCTGACAGGATGATGTTCCCATGCAGGCCACGATTCCATGTTTTAATTGTGTCTTGGAGATTCAGAGTCACTTTGATGGTAGCAATGAAGAAAAACTAAGAGAAACCTCCCTTCATTTATGTGATATGTGATTGACATGAAATTAAACTGCACTCATGGAACCAGAAAAGTGAAAACAAATCATTCATTGGCCATACATTTATATTATAAATTTTCATATTTCTATGGAAACAATAATATTTCAATTTCTACATCATAATATGTACATTTTAAAATGTCATTGAAATGACCAAAATGTGCAATTGTTTCCATCTTATTTCCTAAGAACACAGAAGGGGGAAAGTTTAAAGAACAAAATTACTTTGTAAATATTTCAGAATAATGACCACAAATAAGGCCAATTTAAGGGGAACACAACTCCAAATTTATTGTCCATTCTTTCCACCCTAGGAAGGGGGGAAAAGAGAAATATTTATTTGTACAGTTTGTCAAAGAAAATACAGTGTCGCTTCTGACATTTAATTCTACTGTTTTTATGTCCCAGAAACCACTGAAGGATGACTCAAATAACAGCGTCATGGAACCACTTAAGGATTTAAGAGGCATCAACAGAGAGAGCCATACTGGTGGTGGTGGTGAACAGAGTGTCAGAAACATATAAAAAAGAAATACATGTGCAATAAAGACCCTGGCGGGAACACAGCAGGCAGGGCATTGCCTTGTGGGCAGGGGGGCTGTGTGAGGAAGTGGGGATCTTGGCACTGAACATTTCTTCTGGTCATTTGCTGTTTGTTTTGTCTGGCTTGCTTGGCTCAGGCTTCTCAAAAAATAACAGGAGATTAAAGGGAACTTTCGGAAATCTTTAATTGAGAGCCAAGAACTTCGATTTGATTAGAAGTGAGGGAAGGAAGCAAACATTTCTTGAGCACTTCTCCAGGACCGTGCTAGCCTCCCTCACACTCTTATTAGAAATGATGTCATTCCTCAGTGGATGAGGAGAGGGCTGGCTCCACTTTCCGAAGGGGGAAAGTCGAGGCTTCGGGGAGTTGATGCTGATTTGCTTAAAGCAGCCCAGATACCTGCTGGGAAGGGAGAGGAGAGATTAAACATCAAGTTGCCTGATGCCAAAGGTGCCAATGAAAGGTTAGGGAGATGGCTCGGTGGGTAATAATTGTTGTTTGCAAACATAAGGACCTGAATTTGAATCCCCAACATCCCTGTAAAATGTCAGGCCAGGCTGCAGGTGTGTATAACGCTGGCATTGTGGGACTGAGACAAATAAATCCTAGGGTTTAGCAGTCTACAAGCCTAGCCGAAACAGGAAACTTGCAGTTCAGTGAGAGACAGACACCTGAAATGATCTCTGTGCTATTCTTGAACACATGTGCATACACACACACACACACACACGTATACACACAAACACAAAGACATACATACACATGCACAAACACAGACACATACACACACATGCACACACAAGAACCCAGACACATACATGCAGACACACACAGTACAAATGCATACGCACACACATAGACACGCCTGTGTATTCATTCGCCATCCACATAGCGGCACAGAGCTGTTGACTCCTCCATTCACCCTTAATAATGCAAAAGCAGCTCTGCAGGCAGCCACAGTTCCCTGGATAGACATCTTCACCCACTTTCCCCGTATAGTCCTTCCTGGAGATTTTTCTTGATTGCAAGGCCATAGTAAATTCCCTGTAACAGGCAAATTGGTTTTGGACTTAAAATATGACTGTTGTAGGCTTACGTGAGATGTTAGCTCTACCTGGGAAGACATGAAAATGAAATCTGGTATTGCATCCTTTTGACCCTGTGCTACTGGTTTGAATTTCTGGATTCTTTTGTTTGCTTGCTTTGATAACCACCTTTAAATATACTATTTTATTTTTAAAATGATGTATATTATTTGTTCTTTGTCTGTCCTGCTTGTAGGTAGGCTGTAATTTTTTTTATTTTTTTTTCTTGTCAAGTGCTTAAAAGAGGAGCCAGTTGACGCCTCTTTTAGGTTTCACTGGTCACGTGAGCTCTGCCATCACAGGGTGAAAGCAGCCTCAGGCAGGGCGTGGCTGTCTTCTTTGTGTATGGACACGGAAATTTGTGTACGGTAGAATGTTCAAGTGTTGCTTTTTTTCCTCCAACCATTTAAAAACTATAAGAAACCTTCTTGTTAAGCAGTGTGCTAAAATTATAACAAAAGCTAGTATCATGTCTTGAATTTCGTAATAATGAACACACACACAACAAAAGTAGCCTCACCGAACTCTAAAGTTGGGATAACCTCTTTTTAAATGTCAGTGTCTTAATATTTGGTGAACTATGTCTTTAAAGTTTTATAGGAGAGTTGAAAATTAAATATTTATTTTACGTTTCTTCAGTGTACATGTGGAAGTGGAGACTCGAGACACGCATGCCGCTATGTGTGTGTAGAGGTCAGAGAACAGCTTTTGGAAGTTGGTTCTCTCCTGTCATGTGTGTCTTGGGGTTTGAACTCAGGTCAGTAGTCTTGGCAGCATTCTTTATCTGATAAACCTTCTCCCTGGCCCAGAAATTAGACTTGATGTTAACTTTCTATAACATAATATACAATAATAATAATAATGTTTGAGGCTACCTTAGGCTACATTCTGAGTAGAAGGCTTGATACATAACAGGAGGTTGTCTCATCCAAACCAACCAACTATTTTAAATGTTATGTACAATTGTTTAGGTACTGTAGAGATAGCTCAGTTGGGAAAATGCTTGCTTGCAATCATCGGGACATGGGTGCAGTGTCTATAACACACATGAAAACAGAAAGCTGTGTATGGTGGTGCCTGGTCACCTCTGAGGAGGCAGAGACAGGTAGATGCCTAAGCCACTAGCCAGCCAGACTGCCGTGTGTGCTGAGTTCCAGGACAGCAAACGACCCTGTCTCAAAAGACAACAAAAATTACTGGAGGAAGACAGCTACGGTTGTCCTTTGGTCTCTACACACAGACACACACACATGTATCCGCACACACATGAACATGTCCACACATGAAGGCACACACATAAACACATGCACACAGAGAAAGAATTGTTTGCCTCCATATGAGATTTGTTTCATCTCATCTGTATTTTGCTTTGTACTACAACTGTTTAAACTACTGTCCAGTTTAATTATTTCCTTGATGTCATTGACATAACTATGATACTCTTTGGAAAAAGAAAGATGGAATAAGAAATGCTGATGCCAAAATCCAAGTAAAAAGGCATAAAATGATGATGATTTTGACAATATGCCTCAAGATTGTTTTCATTAAGTCTTTAGATTATATTTTTTTTCTGCCTAACATGCCTCGGGAGGGTGTTAGTCTGCAGTAGAAGGAAAACGGATATTGAAGACTATGCAGAGTTAGGTTTTTGCTCAGAGTCAAACAAGCCCAGCAAGATGAACAATGTGTTCTTTGCATTAATGTGCTCATGAATATTAATCTGATAGTTTTCTAATATTTTCATTTCTTTATAAAATAAATGTAGACAAGTATGGCAGAGCACACCTGCGACTTAGCACTTGGGAGGTGGAAGCAGTGGGATCTGGAGTTCAAGATCAACCTCAACTACAGGGACACAGACTCAAAACAGCAGCAGCAGCAGCAATAGCAGCACTTCCTTCATACCTACTAGATATTAATATAACCATGTAATAAATAATAAGTATTTTGACCAATCCTTAAAACATATGGCAACTTCAGATGACATTTGAGTATAAAACACATTTAAATGTCATCCTGAATTCTAGCCTATTCCAGTCTCCAGGATAAAATCAATATAAATCACTACAAAAATTTCCACCAAACATGTTTCAAACCAATATGCAGTTTAATGTTAATGAAATAGAATGTCACTTACTATGTGAAAAAAAACAGTTGCCTAATATTGTGCACATTTTTATACTAAATTTATTTTAATGTAATCTTAAATAACTGAAACTATAATAAGATGATGAGGTTCTTATTTCTATGAATTCTTTTACTTTATTTTTCAGTGCTTATGGTTTTAGGAAGATTAATTAGCACTGTGACAGGACTTTGACCCACCGAAATCATCTAGCTTACTTAGTTTCACAGGGAACAAGAGGAGGAGGCCCCACAAAGGAGGTGAATGGCTCAACTGAAGAGAGTAAAGCCTAGGTTTCCTGGCAGAAGGGATAGCTCAAATGGCAGAGCACTTGCCTCACAAGACAAGGGTATGCGTTCAGTTGCCAGAACCCTTAACGAGATTCTGCACCCTGGAGGACACAGGAAATCCCTGGGGCTCCCTGACCAGCCAATCCAATGCATTTGCTGAGCTCCAGGCCAGTGAGAGACCTTGACTTAAAGGCTGCCATTGCTGAAGATGACACCTAGTGTTGTCCTCTGACCTCCCCTCAAACATGCACACAGAGAAACATGCACATCCATACATTCAAATGACTTAAAAAAACCCCATAGGTTTGCTGACCAACTGGCAAGGAAAACTAGAAGGAACCATTTGTCCTGTTGTATTGCCATTTATGAAGACTTCAAGAAGATAGATTGCCAAGAAAGAATGAAATCCTTGACATTCAGTCTTATCCTTTTGCTTGGGCATTTTCTTGAGCTTGTTTTGTTAATGATCTTTTACTCCTTTGACTTCCCTTCTTTCTTCCTTGCCCACTTCCTTCCCTCTCCTCCTCCTTTAGAAAAACCTTGCTATGAGTCCCTGGCTGGCCTCAAACTCAGTGTGCAGTCCAGTTTGTTTCAGCCTCAAGTTCTGGGATTATAGCATATACCACTATATACAACTTGAAAGAGATTTTAAGACAATATTTTATGTGCATAGGTGTTTTGCCTGCATGTGTGTCTATGCATCGTGTATACAGGGTGCTCAAGGAGGCCAGGCATGGACAGAGGCGCCCCTGATCCTAGAGGTACAAACAGTACCTCTAGTATAAACAGTAGTGATCTACCGTGTCAGTGCTAGAAATGAAACCTGAGTCCTCTGGAATAGCAACCAATTGTCTTAACCACTTAAGCCATCTCTGCAGCCCTGAACTTGAAGTTTTTAACATGCATTCATCCCTTGGTGCCGCATAGAATTGGTTCTAAGGCTGTCCTTGGATACAACAATCTTGGCTACTTAAGACTCCAATATAAGAGGACAGTACCTCTCCTAGATTTTTGATGTACGGTTGGGAGAATTTGGAACCCATGTCAGGTGAGGACCAACTCTATTATTTGTAAGATCAATGGATTGTTGATAATAATTATAGAACTAAGGCTCAGATGAGAAAAATCAATAGAGGAGATTGTTACTTCAATTAACAATCTAAAAGTAGTATCTTTTAGAAATATAGTTTTCAAATCAGATATTATCCTGGGAGTAAGAAATCAGAAATAAATCAGAGTTGAACTGCCATGGCCTCTGCCATCAAAGTTTGAAGTCTATTGGGATACAAATCATCAAGGAGACGTTAAGGCATGTCACTGGGCATCTGTGTGGAGGGCAGTGTTAGCAGAGGAGTGGATGGGTCTGCTTGGTTCAGGAATGGCTAGGAGGAAAAACAACTCATAGGCTCAGCCCTCAATGGGACAGTCATGTCACACTCCTCCCCCCTCAGGTCTAGGGAGCACCAGGAACGAGGGGTGGAAAGATAGTAAGAGGCAAACGTCAGAGAAAGTTGCTGTGAAACAGTGTTTTCCGGATACAAAGGGGTCTTGATACTAGTGAACTCACAGCAACCAGGGTCTCCTGAATAAGACCAAGCCTGATAGGAGATCCAGCCAGTCAACATTCCTGCATGGTTCAGAGTGTTCACAGGACCCTGGTGCTAACTGGGGAGTTACTAGTAGTTGTCATTTATAAAGGAGGGACAGTGAGTTTTCTTCAAGGGTGTTGCCTATGCTAGGTTACCCAAGCTCCAGTGGGTAGCCCAATATCCATGTGTACACACGCTGTACTAGGTAGACTCAGGGAGGAGGAGGAGAAATGAAGTTGGGAAGGGCCTGGGAGGAGGTGGAGCAAGGAGCAGAGGGTGCATGTGACATAAAGACATAGTATTTACATAGGAAATTTGAAAAGAATAATAAAAATCCCACACTTGTAGAGAGGGTAACAGAGATAGCCCCTGCCTCCAAGAAACTCCCAGATTCAGAGAAGAGCTGGATACATCAGGGTGTGAGGACTGAGGTTTGGGTGGTAGCCTGAAGGTGAAGGGGTAACAGAGGGATTTGTCTTAGTCGTTTCTACTGCTGTGAAGAGTCACCCATGACCATGGCAACTCTTACAGAAGAAAGCATTCAATGGGCGTTGACTTACAGTTTCAGAGGTTTAGTGCATTTCATAATGGCAGGAAGCGTGGTTGCAGGCTGGCAAACATGGTGCTGGAGAAGGAGCTGAGAGTTTGACATCCAAATCTGCAGGCATCAGGGAGAGACACTCTGGGCTTCAAATGTTTTGGGGTTTTGTTTGTTTGTTTGTTTGTTTGTTTTTTGGAAACCTCAAAGCCCCTGCCGAGTGACACACTTTCTCCAAAAAGGCCACGCCTTCTAATCCTTTCAAATGTGTCACACATTCATGACTAAGTATTCAAATCTATGAGCCTATGGGAGCATTCTCATTAAAACCAACACATGTATAAAGCTGGGGAGTGGCAAAGGCAGATTTGAACTTGATAACACTCACCCTAGTACCCAATTAAAGGATATGTCCTCTAGAGACAACGGAGAATAGTTAGATCACAGTTGTCAGGATTTGGTAACTGCTCTGAGGTCTAAGGAGTCTGGGAGGAAGTCAGATCTCTGGCCAGGCAGAGTGTCACCATGAGTGCTGGGAACTGAGGTGGAGATTGAGGAAGAAGGATGGGAACCTGAGAAGAGATCCTCAGCCATCAACACCTTGATGATCAACTGATGTGCTTGTGAAAACCTAGGGGAAGTATCAAAAAACAGACAGCTGTATGGCTCCTTAGAACAGGACAGGGGACTCAGTTATAAAAATGGAGATGTGAGATTGAACTACCTGAAGGTGATAAGGAGGCGCAGCCCTACGAGGTGATCTAAATGAAGGGGATGAGTCTGGGAAGAAAGAGAGGGAACCATGGGCTGATGCGTGAACATCGAGGAGGCGGTGCTCTATGCAGAAAGTGGTCAACAGTTTCAAAGGCTGGAGAGAGGTCAAGGAGCATGCATATTCAAGGATCCACAGAATCTGCCCACCCGTGAGTCCTTCCTTGAGCTCTTTATGACGGGAGAAAGGAAACGCAGAGATAATTGTGGCGGTTCATATGGTCAATATTACACGTGAGAAAGTTTCTGTCTAGTCTGGGTTAACGGAGAT